AGAAGGAAAACAACAATAACAATATTTGTACCACTAACTGGAGAAGGAAAACAATAATAACAATATTTGTACCACTAACTGGAGAAGGAAAACAATAATAACAATATTTGCACCACTAACTTGAGAAGGAAAACAACAATAACAATATTTGCACCACTAGCTGGAGAAGGAAAACAACAATAACAATATTTGTACCAGTAACTTAAGAAGGAAAACAACAATAGCAATATTTGTACCACTAAATGGAGAAGGAAAACAACAACACTATTCACCCTCAAGATACGAAATCAAATTCAATAACTTTAAATGGCTCAATTTTTTATATTTCAAAACATTTATATCCGCGAAGATACAGAAGCTCACACACTACACATCGATATGGCAACTTTAACTTCCATGTGGACAATATGTCCACCTTTCAGAACACATATATGGGACACAGACCTTAAAAATTGTGATAGTGAACACCTCTGAGTTCGAGGTTTTATACAAGAATGTGGAAAGGGTATTCGTTCTTCAAACATCACAAATTTACAGTTTCAAGTTTCAGATCAGTAATAAAACATGTGCCGTTTGTTACTATATATACTTAAAAAAAGACATGAGGTTTTGTGGTATATCAGGCAGATGGTAGCACCGCCTATGTAGGGATGGCTTGGGTTGTTCATCGAAATTATATTTTAAATACCTTCTCAACAGGTTATCAGAACTTTACAATACTATACAGTGTTTCCTTTTATAACAATATCTATGTAATGACCGAGTCAAACTTCTGGGAATGTCTGTAAACATCATAGCAAAAAAAGTTTGAATTTCTTGTTCTTCTTTCTTCTACTTCTTTTTTATTACATGATAATTTAAAAACCAAACAATGATGTCAACCAGTATTATTAATAACTAGTAGTGATAAAAAAAATCATAATTCTAGTGTAAACGATGTTATCATTACCCCTTGAAGTTAGCTTTTGTGCAGAAATTTGGTGTTTCTTTAAAAAGTTTAAGTACAAGGTGAAACGGGAATTA